TACTATGCCTCTGACTTGCTAACCAAGCTCCAGACTGTTCAAGGCAAGGAGGGACTCAAAGGAGAGATAAGCTCAGTGCCTGTGGCAGCGCCGGTCAAACAACTTGAATGGATGCTCATTCCTCTCTGAGTCTGTACGCCATAAAACAGGGGTCGTAATCTTTTATGACAGGATGCAAAGGTCTCTTTGCAAACAGCCAAAGACCTCAGAATAAAGCCCAGCAGGGCCTGATCTGCACCCTTCAATCATCATAATTGTGACCTCATCCATCACATGTCACCCTGGGTCACAATACTGAAGGTACTTTTTATTGCCCCACACTTCCCTCGGCCTGCTCTTACCCCTGCAGCCTTTTTGTGTTTCTGCGTCCGACCCAGGAAGCTTTCCTTTCTTGTCTGCGGCAGAGTCTTCATTTCATTATTTTATCACCGGGAGCTGGACCCTCAAAAACACTGGGGTCCCCGCCAACTTAGCCCCATAGATGGCTTACTCATTTACAGAGCTGGACAGCAGCACATTCAGGCCTTTTTCTATACAATGTGGTGCGTCACTTGAAATGCAGCTCCGCCAGATCAAAACCTCTCTGAGAGATTTGAATGGGGCGGTTTGGGGAAGTTGGGGCTGTTAAAGGGGCCAAAAGAACAACTGAATCACTGTGGCTTTAATTGCTTAATTCTTCCCACTTCGAATTGAACAGAAAGCAGCCTGCAAGACTGAAGTGCAAGAAAACTAGAAAGCAACTGTACCTTTCCCGTGAGAACAGATGGAAATTCTGTGTCAAATCTGTTGCTCAGGCCAAACCTGAAGAAAGACAAACAAACAAAATATGAGCAATGATAAGGTAATAAAAATGAATCTAAAACTAAGCATAAAAACTGCTATTACTATATGATGAGAACAAAAATAGTCAAGAGTGGAAATATACTGCTGGATTACATGATGAGACAGAACATTCACAAACTAGTTTAAATTATGAGATGGGAGACTTTAAATCACACACAACTACAAAAGCAGGGCACAATAAGAAATATTTCTATTGCAGTTCTTGATGTGAAGAGAACAAGAATGAAGGTGTCCAGACAACCAAGCAACACCATATTGCCAAAAAAACAACACCATAAATTATCATCAGTAAAATCACTTCAAGTCAAACATACAAAAAATAAATGACAAACAAATTATTACTAAAATGGTAAGCTTACACTACATTTCCCATAATCCATTAAAGGAGCAGTGTGTAGGATTTTGGGGCATCTATTGGCAGAAATAGTATCTAACATTAATAAGAATGTTTGTAGTTTATAATCACCTGAAACTAAGAATTGTTGTGTTTTTGTTACCTTAGATTGCGGCGTTTACATCTTTATATCTTCCACGCAGATGCCATGTTGTTCTACAGGAGCCCAGAATGGACATTATAAACATTTTTGCATTGGCCACCAAAGTTCTCCTACACGCTTGGCACATGCTGGAAGTTTCAGTTCTGTAACCTCACTGCTAGATGCCACTAAATCCTACACACTAGACCTTTAATGTTGTTTGGTCTATAAAATGTTAGACAATGCTGAAAAAATGTCAGGAAGTGTTTCCAAAAGCCCAAGATGACATCTTTAAATGTCTTTCTGTCTATGACAAAAGGATATCCTATCATATATATAAAAACACACCAGAAAATATTCATATTTCAAGAGCAAGAATAAAAAAATTCCGATTTTTTTTCCTTTAAAAATTACTCAAACTGGCAAATAATTTAATAGTTGACAACTAATCTATTTAATCATTGCAGCTCTATGTATCAAAGAAAAGCAGGGTGTCTTTAAGTACCAGACAGTTAAATTTAATTCCTGTTCAAGACACCTTTTAACCTAATTTAGGACTGATTTTACCAATCCTGTTTTACTTATTTCAGCATCGCTGCTAAGCACTGCAGGTAAGTCGTGTATATGTGGTGTTGTACATATATAGTGTTATATAGGAATATGGTTATTAGAGTGAAGTAAGTCAATCTACATTTTGCAAACAGGTAAGTGAAAGTAGGAAGTTAAATGACGGTATTATAGTTTTAAAAAAATGTTTACATAGAAAGGCTTCACTCAATTACACAAAAGGAAATTAAAAAATGGGTGAATGACTTTAACGACTTATTAGGCCTTAGTTTTGTAACATTCAAAACATTTTAAGACTTTTTAAGGACCTGCAGATACCCTGAAAAGGTGTGTTCATAGCCTCATCTTTACTAAGACCAGTTCTGATTGATAAGTTGTCATGTCCATGTGAAGTAAAATAAGATTTGTAAACAAAATAGCAGTGTGTAGGTATATTTTCAGTAGGTATAAGCTGTAAGTGGGCAATAATATATAGTTTCTTGTACAGAAATTTGTTTGCAACTCTTTCCTGGATTGGAAAGAAAGAGCAATGCTTAATAAAAACAACATCCATGTGAAAACTAACAGATGATACTAAGTTTAAAAATTGACATCCTCATTTCTGTCTGACCAGAATCCAGAGTTAGCAGAGAGGGCTAACACAGCTTGGCAGGTGGGATGTAACATATGTTAGTCAGATCTTGGTTATGGTGAGGTGTAGGGAAGATCTGACGATGATGACAGTGATTATTTTTTGCATTTTCTTCTAAATAAAACTCACTGCACAACTACATGACGTCATAGTGGGGGGCTGACGTACTTAAAGCTCTAGTTGTCACCCTGATAATGCAGCCTCCATCAAAACGTAGCTGTGAAGCTGACGTCCCCGTGTAAACAATGATGAAACTCACAATAAACAAGCTTTAGACGATGATTCACTGGCTGACACTCTGCTGACTCGACAGATAACTTCACTAAGTCTGGTGGTGATGTTTTAGTGTGCTCGGTGACAACGTTACAAGCACAGACTTCTAATAACGGTACCTCACATGTAAACTTGCCTACCAATCAATGTCGGTTGCTAGTCTATCAAGTTCATGGTTGCCATGGTGAAATAGAACCCTTAACGTTAATATATGTCGTAATAATGTTCCGTTAGTGCTCAAACCAACGATCCCCTCGCTTAAACATATGGCTAACTGTTAGTTGTTGTGTTAAGCGTTAGCTAGCAGGCTAGCAACATGCTAATGAGGCTAAAGGATGAAGACAGCAAAATAACAAAGCGACAGCGTGACAGACGGCAGCGACAAACGCGGCTCCGCTTACACTGTGATGTGTCCGGCCCCTCGCATCACCACGGGCTCCGGACAGTATCTGGGCAAGTGTTCCTCACTCACTACGTGCTCATCCTCTTCGTCTTCCAACTCATAAATGGTATCAAAGTCCGCCATGTTGGGTAGTAAGACGCTCATGACGTCTCCGACGGGGCTGCGCGCGGACGCACGAGCGGGCGCGCGGTGAGCCAGAGTTTGTGAATAGCGATGATCGCCCCTCTGCGTCCAGAGGGAGATGAACATCATCAGCTAAACATCTGACATCACTGAGACATGGGGCATTGGAAACTATTATACCCAGGACACACTGACTGTTTATAATAAGGCTGAAAATATCATAAACCAATTATTATTAGACTTTATCCCTGCAGTTTGCACCACAATTAACTCAGTCAAAGCACATGGGTCAAAGTCAGGAAAAGTCCTCCTCCCAAACTAGTCAGTCCAGCCACACATCAATTAACATGTGACTTCAATTAATTATGCATGAACCTACACTGTGGACGCATCAGCCTGAACCAGTCTCACTTCTAGTAACCTTAAACAGACCTATATGAGTTAAATGGGAACATAGCCCATTTTCAAAATTCGTACAAGTTAGTCTCTGGTCTAAAACAGTCCAAAAAATATTAGTGGATATGGATAACTCTTCCAAATCCAAAATCTTGAGTGCTAAAACCCAAATTTGTGATCTCACATAAGGGTATACAGTCTGGATCTGCTGCATAGATGATGGAATGGGAAAGAAGATGACACTGAGAGCACCTAGGAAAATGTTTTATGTTTCAGAGCTAAGAACATTACAGTAGAATAAAGCTCATTTAAGTATAAAAAAGAAAACAAGCACTCTGTAGATCCACAAACTTATGTTCTCATTCATTGTCAATGGAGCAGTATAATTGATGACCTCAAGTTTGGGACTTTCTTCTCTGGTTTCTGACTTTCACAGAGAGTAGCTCATGTTCATAAATATCGACTGAACTTTCCTAGACCATGGGAATAACATATTGAAATTCCTAATTTAGGTGGTGTTCACCTTCAAGTCTTTAAGCCTGAGATGTTAGATGTTTCTCTGACATTAAATGCAAAATAAAGTGCACCTGCTGATGTCACAGGACATTAAACATATATGTTAAATAGCCCAAACAAGCTATTCTGTCTAACACAATTTAGATTTAACTGAACAAGACAAATCAACCCCCATAATTTTAGTTGCTATGTTCATTTGTGGACACTTACACTAGTTGGTTTTAAGTCACTAGTGAGGTAATTTCAAAAATAAGTGAAAACAAACCAGTCTCATATTTAAGAAAAAAAAAGTGATAAAAAGCTTTATTATTTTGCTGTAAAATGACCTCACATATTCACGCTTTGGAAATAAGCCCTTACTATTTTGTCCAAATTAACTTAACATTTCAATGCGCCCATTGCTGTATAGAAACTTTGGAAAGTAAAATATTGTGACAGGTCCAAACATTTTTCTGATATATGCTAAATGTTGTGGGGTAATTTTTTTTTTTTTTTTTTTACACAAGGGGCATTATTAATACACATAAAAGACGCATAGTATCCTTCTTGTTTACCCTTACTTTGATATGTTAATTTCTGAAAGGCTTAACTTGTTTTGTGGCCTACCTGAGTTTGTAACTTGCACTGATGTGTATTCGAGGCCTGTCAGCAGCCGATAGTGAACTATAGCTTGCAGGCTGTTTCTCTGCACTGGGGAATACCAGAGTCTACACATGCACACATGCATTTCAAAGACTTTTGCAAACCTGAGAAATAATGAAAGTGACAGGTGTACTGCAAAAAAACAACATTTTATTTACACTTTGCCATCAAACGATCGTCCTACCCGTATCATGAACAGCTGCTCCCTGCTTTACTAAAGCGGATTATACTGTGCTGAATGTGTAAACGATTTGTCAAGTCAAAGCAGCACCAGCTACAAACAGTCCACTTTAGGACTTCATTAAAAATGTCCCTGGATTCTCATTTTATTCACATACACTTCATCACATACAGAAAAAAAGGATATTTATATCTTATTAACTCACAAACAATTTAAAGCTTTGAAGTTTGAAACACGTCGATTTTTTGTTTAGTTTTTCTTTTAAAATCCCCAAAGTTATTAGAACTATTCTATAAAAAGCAATATTTGAAGAGCCTCCAGCATTTTCGTTGCTATAAATCAAATCTTTTATCCACAGCTTTGTGCTTCAGGACGTGAGTTCAGACCAAGTGTCCTGTCAGCGTGTCGGAGTGCTCAGTTAGGTTGGATGTACTGTCCACAGGGTGAGCTCTTCTACTGAGTCACTGTCACTTGTTGTATATTCCTGATAGATGGCAAGGTGTTCATTCCCTGAGGAGGGTACAGAGAGTTGTGGATGTCTGACGGGCTGAGAGAGCCCGGCACCGGCAGAGGGCTCACTGAACCCGGGTCACTGTGCACGGATCCCCCGCTGCCGTCAGACTGACCCAGCTTCTTCTTGATCAGCTTCCTCTCTTTGGCTCTGCGGTTCTGAAACCAGATTTTCACCTGAACAGTCACAAAGAAAAGGACATTAAATTAGTGTTTCTACATATAGACCACAAAATGAAATTATAGCTCTTAATAAATAAATAGATAAAGAAAGAAGGAAAGAATCAGAATAAACAAATAATATAAATAAATACTCTTGGCTGGAAAATTATATTTTTGGTTTAACTAATAATTTAAATACATATTTTTAGGTCTAAGCTATCTCGTTTAACCTTCATGCCAGCCCTTAATAATTAAAATTAAATTAGATTAATTTACATTAAAAGATATGCCTGGGAAGGAAATAAAAACTATCAAGAAATAAACATAAATGACAGAAAATAATAAATATATTGTAACATACAATAAATGTTACAAATACAATGTATGTTCCCATTCATTCATACCATTCCTTACTGAACTAAAATGTATATAAAAGATCTATTAACACATATAGACTACATTTAAATTTTTATATAACCATAATAAAATTTGGCCCATGTGTAATGAATGCATTTCCATAATTTGGCATTATTTTTTGTTGTAATTTCAGAATATAACATATAGAAAAAAACTATATATACATACAAAATATATAAAATACCAATAAAATACAAAAACAGTGTATTTTGAAATACCAGGAAATAATTATATAGTACTTTCTATTTTAGATTTAATTATCAGACACAGAATAATTAATTCAAATAAAATATCTAAATTAATATATCAGGTGTTGAGGTAGCTTTGAATATATCCAAGGCAATTTTATTTCTGTCTCATGACTGTAAATATGCAGACTAACCAACGTGTTGAGGATAATTTTAACATGTTTTCTGTAGGCCTCATTTTGTAAGTTACACGTGTGAAAACGAGGCTGTATTTACATGTGGCCTGCTCAGTGTCTATCATATGTATACACTGAATATGTCATATATTTAATACATGATTTATTGCATCTCTCCCCGATGAAAATAGAGCAGGTCGAAGTATTAAATAAAGACATACCTGTCTCTCCGACAGACCGAGGTTGACAGCCAGTTCAGATTTCCTCCTGATGGTGATGTATCTGTTGAAATGAAACTCCTTCTCCAGCTCCAGCCTCTGATGGTCTGTGTAAACTACCCTGTATTTCTCCTTCGTTCTTGTTTTACCTGCGAAAGGTGACAAAAAACAAAGCAGCATTAAGATTGTGCTTTTCTTTTAGTTGTTGCTGTTGTTGTTGTTGTTGTTGTTCAGCTGCCAGGTGGTTGAACTGGAACATTTACACAGAGAAGGCTGCATGCCGAGACCGGCCTATCTGCACATAGCATCTTTATTAGCTGCCTCTTAAATACACATCTCTCTGCTTTCTCCACTGATACGCAAATTAAGCTTTTTCATCTCGCTTTGATGACAACTGTAGTGCAGTGAGTTTCAAACGGCCAGCTCTCTGATCTGTGCTGACAAGTTACAAAGGAACACACGACACAGGAGAGAAGACAAACATCTGTGGCGACTGAAGAGTTAATGCACTGCTGGATTTCTTAAAACATGTTATATTTTTATGTATTTAAGTTTGAAAACAAATGGCCAACAACGACAAATTTATTGACTAAAAATGGACATCCACATTCTCATAATAAACCATGAGCTAAACTAATTTAATGAATGGAAAACTGTGGGTCTTATTAATTGCAGGCCTTCATAATGAACTAATATTCAATCTGAAACTATATTTAATGCCACTGTAAAGGCCTACAGTTTGTACTACTCCACTTTGGAGACGCTGGCTGTGAAAAACGTCACTCTTTCCGGCAATATAACTCTCGGAGAGGAAGGGAGGTTGGTGCATATCAAAGTGAAGAGGTGTTGAAAGCAAAGGCCACCGCCTGGATATGACGGATAACACTCAAAACACCAAACAATGTGACAGGGAAGTCGACCTCACATCTCAGGGAATTCTGACATTAACATCACAACTGGGCCTGGCGCCGATTCCTCACACCTTTTTTTATGTGGGGAGAATACAGTAGACAGAGCTGTTGGCCTTCAGTCCATTTTCCCATGTGAATTATGAGACATGGAAATGGTTATTGGACACGTTTGGGTGATTCGTTTTGCTGCGAGTCTGATGCAATTCGTTATTATTATAATTGAATAAATGCCTGTTTAATTTCAGACTGTAAATAATATCATTCTGTTAACATTTTGCACTGTTATTAGCCCAAATATAGGCAACCCGGAAAAGGCAAGTGTCAAAAGACCAAAGTTTCCGTATGTTCTTTTAATTTTTATCGAGTTTTTACGCATCTTCCACTTTTGACATTTATCTACAAATGTAATAAATTTAGCCTTTGTATTTACTTTAACAAACTAGAAAGGAAAAAAATATTTGTTATGACACGAAACTGCCAGAAAATGTGTGCGTAAAATCCCGTGGGACTTAAACGGAAACAAACGCCGTGCGTAAAAATCTTAACTTTTTCCTGCAAGATTGAGGCAATCCAAAAACACAATTTTGGCACAAGATGACATTCTCACCTGTAGAAGATGATTGCGCAGTTTTACTCATCCACTGGAATGAATTGCGCCTTTCTCTATCAGGAGAAAGTTGTGCAACATTTACGTTGTCCGGCGGCGGCTGTAACACCGCAGATCCTGGAGGATGCATATGACTGTACTCAGACGAGCAGTAAGGAACCTGTCCGGGAGAGGAGTTGTTCATGGGTGTAGGAATAGTATTAGGTGGTCCCAAACTATATGCACCCCAGTCTTCCCGTGGGGCGCCATAAGTGGGCCCCCAACTCCCCGTGGACTGAGCGTGCGTATCCATGTTTGGCACATGATGGTATCCTGTAAAGTCGGGGTACTGAGGCGTGGAAACAAAGTTCTGTGGAGGCAGATTGATGCTCGATCTTCTTACTGGCCCTTGGTGATACATGCCGGTTTCTTTATCCAGAAGGTATCCCACATACATGATTTGTACAACAAAACAATTAAATATAATAAAAACAGCAAAGGGGATATGTGGCCTATTTCAAGGCGACATAGTGGCCCTGAAACTGTTAAAAAACAATCCTTCTGCTGTTTATGTAGTCCAAATGGGTTCCCAGTGTGAAATGCGACGTAGTTCCAGTCTGTCTCCAGTCTCACATGATGTGTCTCTGTTGACAAGATGGTAAAGGTATACTAAAGCCTGCCTGACGTCAGCCTACTCCTCAACTCTTGGAGATTTGCATTCAAATGAGAGTGACCGGCGCTGCCGGCCCAGCTGTCCCCTTGCGCCTGTCCTATGGCGCGTCATCACCTGACAGTGGGCCTATCCTGTGCAGGAGTTTCTCCGCTACATGAATAAATTAACACCACGGCCTATCAGCTGCACAGGCTGCACGAACCGGCAATAAACCAAGGCAACACGTCCACAAACGCACCAGGGAAGAAAAGGCCTGTGCGTAATTGCGCACAGATATACTACGTGATTATTTTGGACTTATTAGAAGTATTAGTTTCCTTAGAGATATTAGTTGAGTAGGAGTCTAATACATTATAGCAGCAACTTATTTTGCATATTAATCTTAGAGTTTTGTCTTTCTAAACTAAATGCAGAACTCTCACACACTCCAAATTCTTATTGTGGGAATCCCAACCACGCTTCACGCGTAAAACCCGTTTTATTTGCTAAGAGATTCACTTGCAAACGAGGTGAAAAGTATGAGAGACTTTCTCTTGAAGCAAGCCGGACCTTTCGTATTCCGTGTTCACACCTCAAGGTCGCACTTCACAGCTAATTCCGGTTACAAGGAAACTCCGACAACCCCCTCTGTGACAAACAGCGGCCCTCCACACATCAGTCACCGCTGTCTCCTGACATGACAGGGAATTTATTTCATCTGTGATCACGTCTCGTATGTGTCACGAGTCTGCAGTAAAATGACTGCTCAAATAAAAAGTTTGGAGAAAGCACAGTTCCTTTAAATTCAATATAATGCAGAAAAAAATGCGCTGCAAACTAAATACATTGAGGCCAAATTTAGTTGATGCAACAGCAAAGTCACCGAGCAACAAACCGAAAATGTTCGACATGTTTAAGAGTCATTTCAAAATGCATTTAACTTCAGGCTGATCTGTACTGTTGTGCCTCCAATGCCCAGTGTCCAAGTCTGAGCTGTAGTAGCCTATTGTTGCTGCAGTTGAGGAGCACACACTGTCTTATTCTCATATTTTACCTGTCATTATGTTTCTGCTTCATGTGGCAGGTGTCTGAGGGCCTGTTTAGCAGAGCTGACTAACTGGCTTGTCTAAAAGTCATAAATGCTTGATGGATGTCTCTGAAGCATCTGTTTATTGACCACAAAATATTTATGAGACGGTCTAATCGGCCTGTGACAGTTCACGGCCAGCCCGGCACCTCTCTGATTTGAACATAGGTTAATTCAGCGTCTCTTCTATCTGTCAGCTGTCCGTTTAAAAAAAGATCCAAGTATGACATGAGAAGCATAAATTAATACCATTAATCTTAAAGGAACCCACATATGTCTCTGACTTCCAACAGTTTCCTCTCAGGATGGAGTGTAATAAGATTTCATGCACAAAGATCCAAGTGGAGACAGGTCAGGTCAGGCCTTTTGAGAACTGACTCATTGAGTTACATCATGGCTTTTACAGTGCGCATTTATGTCTTGATTTTTAGACTACACTCGTTTGTTTTCTTTAACCTCCTCCCAGTCGCTTGTGATCCACTGTAGACCAGCCTACATCACTACACTGTACTGAATCATCACTCTGGTTACTTTAGTGTGTCCTCAAATTTCCCCAGTGTGTAGATTATTCAGAGTCACTGCTGCCCCCTTGTGGGATTCTTGATGAAATCTGTCTGAACACCAGAGAGTAATAAAGTACATTTATTCAAGTGCTGCAGGCTGCTTCAGTATAAGTTTGAGATAATTATACTTTAAGTATTTCCGTTTTCTGCTACTTTATATCTCTACCCTACAACTCAGAGGCAAACATCGTGCTTTTTACTCCTCTACATTTATGTACTAATAACTTCTTCCTCTTCTTCTAGGTTAAAATAAAGCTCAGTCTTTATGAGCTGCAGCATTAAAGTGATGAACATATGAAGCCATCAATGATCCAATACTATGATATACATCTTTCTTTATATGAATATTTTTATATTTTATTTTTAAATTTTCAATTTACAAACATGGCTCCAAAATCCCCTCCCTGCCCCCACATACAAACATACCAAAAGAGGACCTAACTCAAAAGAATTAGGTAATAATCAAAAAAATTATATATATATTATATTGATTTTATCCACTGCTCATTATAATATTTATTATTATTATTTATTGCTGTTTCTTGTATTTTTTGTACTTTTTTTTGCATGCCTACCTTTAATCTGACTCGTTCCCCTTGACTGCTGTAACACTGGAATTTCTCAACTGTGGGATCAATAAAGGTGTATCTTATCTTATCATATCTTATCTTATCTTATCTTATCTTATCTTATCTTATCATATCATATCATATCTTATCTTATACAAATAAATAGATAAAAAAATAAATATAAATAATCCTGGCTAAATCAGAGGACTAACTGTGTATCAATCTGGTGTCCTTTTTATAACAAATCTGATGGAGGTGTTGGTAAAGTATCACTATACGTCAAGTGTGGCTGCCAAATCTTCAGAGAGGTGTTGTATTAATTTCTTAGTTTCTCTTATTGAATGCATGACTTACGTGGAGCAGAGTGTTTCTACACTGTAGTGTTGCTACTTTTACTTCATCTATAATTTCTAAGTACTTCCACCACTGCTGATTAATCATCAGACTCCTGACCTCTAGAGGGCAGCCTTCACCAACAAAGACAATTAAACATATGTACCATATTGTACTCAAGAGTCAGAGTATTACAATATGTATTACACAGGATGATTTATTCTGAATGACAAGAAGTTACTGTTAAAATCTGAAGCCTGAGAATAGGCTCCCAGACACTAAGCAGGTAGTATATAAAATGTGTTCACCAACATTTGCATATATTATACAGTAACCTACAGAGCACCTGAGACTAACCTAAGAGACCCTAAGAGAACTAAACTACTGCAACCCTAAATGGTCACAAGACATTCAGCCATCAGTGTAAACTTTGGTAAATAGGTAAGAGACAATAAATGTAGACATATGGCAAGTGCAAATAACAGTAAAATTTAAATGGCTTTCAGTTAGTTTAGAGGTAATAATGCCCTGTAATAAAAAATTATAAGCTTCATTTTTACAACACATATCTGACATCCTGTCATGAGGAGAAATCCTTGTGTAAATGATGTTTTATCCTCAGATGCATTTCAGGGCACTTTGCATTGAACTTACTATAAATAAATGGAGCATAAAAATGAAACAGAAAGTTACCCATAATGGAACTGACTTGATGAAAATGTGTGGAAAGAAGTACTCAGACATTTTCTGCAACAACCTGATGAGTTACATCATGTCAGGAAGTTTGAGAAAATATTTTATGCAACTGTGTAGTTAAAGAAGTGACATGTCATCAGGTGACCTTTTGTCTGCGCATAACTCAAATCATCTGACAGCACAAACACAACTGTGATTCAGCAACTATGCTCATGTATCACCAACGGCTGCTGTACTGTAGCGTGGAAGTGGTAAGATCATGTCAGTTCCAGTCAATGACACCATCAGTCTGATGTTCAACAAGAACAGACTTGTACAACGATTAAATTGAGCTTAGTGTCACAGGAACAAATGTGAACTGTATTTGCTGTTGGATTCTCCTCTTGAATTGTACCTGAGGTCACTGATTTAATCTCGTTGGCATGGTCACGGTGGCTTCATCATCCAGTCATTCATTTTTTATTTATTTCTGTGTAATGGCAAACACTAGGCCCGTCCCGCATGGGATCACAAGACACCACTATTTCACATGCATTTCTGGTCTTGTGTATACACATCATGAGGAGACAGAAAAGAAAAGAAACAGAATGAACTGTTCATATAAGGGCCAAATAAATATCTCCAGATTATTTTGATAAAGAGCCTTTTTCTTCTCCTCTGTCAGGGTTTCCCCAGATAACTAGATAAGTTATATATTTCTTAGGTGATCAACCATCCCAGTCTTTATGCGTCATCCATATTTACAAGATCAATATCTGATTTCATCTTGCTGTACAAAGCATTGCACAGTTCACAATAAAAAGGGCAACAGAAACACATCACATGTTATTTTTGATTCACTTTGTCAGGTCTCTAATGTAAGATTGAACTGGTAAACTTTGTGAAATCACTGACACACCTCTTACTGTAAAAGTGTGTCAGTGATGTCAGAACTCCCTGATCGAATATCATATTTTCAATTCAGTGTTTTGATGCTGGACAACCACCACCCCACCCAGCTTAGTCACGGCAAGGTGCTGAAAAACATCAATGAGTCCACACTGTTAAAAAAAAAAAAAGATTTCCACACATGCCATGCTGTGTTTCACTTTGTTGTTGAGCTCATGAACAAAGTGAAATCTTTTCTACCAGTTTTTAATTCAGTGTTTTAAAATCAGGGGTCTTTGGCTCTTTAGATGAAAAGCCCCTTCATGAACAAACATGCATGTGTGTTCACTAGATGGCGCCATTGAGTTATTTTAGCAAAGTCTCCGCTCTTCTCATGGATGTGCACAAATAGATTTATCAGCTCTTAACCCATTCAGAACTCAACTATGTTCCAACACACAAAAATATTGTTATAGTGGATTTCTACTCTAATATACTTATAAATAATTAACATTTTGTTTTCTGTCCATTTCCATGGACAAAGAATCTTAATGCAGCGTTAAAGTAATAATAAAAATGACAATAAATAGCCTGAACAGACTTTTTTTTCAATGAAGAACATGAAGTGATTTTTTTTCAGTAATAGATAACTCATCTCAGTTAATAAAGTAATGCTTTAAAACACATTGCATAAATATTTTGCATTGTATTCGTCATCACATCTCAAAATATCCTCAATTTCTGAAGTATCTCCAGCAAACAGTATGCTGAAAACCTCCTGAGATGAATATACTGTGGACATAATAAATAAAATGCACTATAGGCTGATTGCATCACGAGAAACTGAAATTAAAACACTATTTCCCCAATGGATGTATGATTTTGAAAACTTCCTGAGTAACAGCTATAAATATTTGATATGATTTTTTGACATGT